GGGAAGAGCGCAATGATGGTGCCAACTTGGGCCAGTGAAGCAACGTCCTCCACAACTAGACTGAAGAACAAAACAACAGCAACTTGTCTGTTTCCATCCCCCCAATTCCCCAATAAAAATCTTTAAAAAACAAACAAACAAAAAAAACCAGCCAGAATGACTTAAACATGTTCTGCTTAAATTCTCTTTGCTCCAGAGCAAAAGGATAAATGCCACCACTTTCACCTTGTGGTTCAGGGTCCTCAAATCAACTGGGTGTGCCCTTTAAAAGGATGTCCTGCAGGCAGTAGTGAGGAGTGGCTGCTGCACGGCCTGGCCGCTCTCCCCAACCCCCTGAGATTGTGGTCCTGCGCCAAGCCCGGGCTGGCAGTATCCAGATCCTGATCCCCAGCACTGAGAGGCAGCGGCACCACTGGGTCAAAGGTGCCCGCCGTGTGCACAACCGATGCGTGTTTCTACACCTACAGTGGGTGGACGTTGGCACAGCTGGGCCCCCAGGTGCAAGGCTACGAACCCTTATCCGGCTGCCCAGTCCTCATCCCAGGTCTCGATGACCCCCTACCCGGGGGTCTTGACACCCCAGAATCCTGGGTGTGGTGGAGGGGGAGGGCCACAGTCGGTTGATTGTTGGTGTACCTGCGATAGAGCGCAAAATGTAGGGTTGAGCTACGCAGTAACGTTTCAGGGTCAACCATAATTCTGTGCTCATCATGAGGAGCTCTGCGTCCCCGCGGGGACTTGGCCACACCTTCACGGGCTCGGATTTATGGGCAAAGTGGGGAGTGTCGGCAGCGGGAGAACCTGGGTCAGAATAGCCTGTTGCTTCTGGCCAGTGCTGGCTTAGCTGCAAATCACCAATTTCCGGCGCAGTGGCTATGGAGGCAGGCAAACTGAGTCTGCGCGTCTTCCCCTAAAGGCCACCAACATGTCCCCTCAGCCCACAGACTCATTTCTGGTGACCTCTCCTCCCTCATGTTCCGGAAGGGCTTCTGCCTCCTGTTCCTGTCATACTGCGAGCTCCCCTTGGCATGAGGTCTCTGCCTGGGTGGCCTCCTCTATGCCACTACCAAGTGACATTTGCCCAGCAGTCTGCACATAGGGATCTATGGGCTCCTCACTCGGGTCTTGTGGGTGTGGGAAGAGAAAGGGACAGCCGTGAGCCAGGAGAGAGGGCTTTCAGACTCCACTCAGCCCCTGAACACCCGTGGATTTGGGGGGCACATTAATAGAGGCTTCCTGGTGTTCATGGTGCCTTCATCTGTGTGTGTTTTCAGGCCAATAGAGAGGTTTTTGTTTTTCAAGTAGGTGTGTACGGGGATAGGGGTGAAGGAGGGGTGAGGCATTTAGTGGGGAACTCTTTGGGGCCTTTAAAATCTTGTTGGCTAATTGCAACCTCCTTCTAGGTGGGAGGTTGGCTCTTTCTGAAGGGGGTGCTCCCGCCATGAGTGTGAGCACAGAGCTTCAGCACTCACCCTCAGGTTCAAGGTGTTTAGTGCTCCCTACCCCTGCACCCACCTCTCAGCTCTGCCTTCCTGAGGAGCCTTCCCCTCGCTCCTCCCTGATTTCCTTCTTCTCTTTCCCTCTCACTCACCGCCTTCTACATTTTTCTTTCTTCCCTCTCTGAAGTTTCACCCCCTAATGAGTTTTATCCAGTCTTAGGGCTCTAATTACTATTGCACTCATGACTCATAAATCTGCATCCCAGTCATAAATCTGCATCCCAGACCCCTTGCCAAATAAGAATTAACTACCTGTTGGATAAATCCCTTGGCTGACTACCAGGGTATAAAACTAAAATTCACCTCCTTCCCTTTGAAAGCAGCTCCTCCTCCGGTGCCGCCTGTGCTATATCACATCCTCCCACTCACCTGAGTGAAACTTGGATTTATTTTTGACTCTTCCTCTGCCCACCTCGTCTTATCAGATGGCAGGGGCTGTTGCTGGAATCTCTGTTACCACCAGCACTGTTCTCCCTCAAGCCTTTGTCACCTCTTGACTAGTACAGTAGCTTTCCAACTGTTACCTCCGATGTTAATTCATGTTCTACAATCTGTTAGATTAAGTGTAATTATGTCATTTCCTTGATAATAAATCTTCAAAGATCTGCATTGTTGACAGAATAAAACCTGAACCTTTCACCTATATTTAAGCTATGATCTGATCCATGCTAGTTTTCCAGTTTTATCTTCAGATTTCACCCATTCCGAAACCGAATTATCTATGTTCTGACACACCTGGTACTTTGCTGACCCCTCGCCTTTGCTTCTGTATCTTCCTCCACCTGGAATTCTTTTTCCTTGTATCTGCTCACCTAGACCATGTCATCTCCCCCTCCTTACTTGTCCATAGGCTGCACCTGGCACAACAGTTTCTACTTTGAGCTGCTCTCATTATAAGACCATATACAATTAAATTATAAACTCCATGAGGCGGGATTTCTGATTTATTTTTGCCATTCCTTAAATGCCTGTCCACAACTTTTTAGGTGCTCCATAAAAATTTGTTGAATAAATACATGAATGACTACACATCTCAATCTGCTCTGTGCTCCCTCTTTTGCTTTAGCTCCTGGAGAGGACTGACTAACAGTTTAATCCACAAAAATTACTGCAATACAATAATTGATTGGTTGTCACATACCTTATACATCCAGAACTGAGCTACATTTTTTCACATGCATCTTAAGGTGTTTAATCAGATCAGTTTTGGACATATTTAGTGGTTTAAAGGAAGTGTCAGCCAACACTAAGTGGGACTAATGGGTTAGTGTTTATAGCAGCCCTGCCAAACCTTAAACACCTATCTTTTCTGTCACTGTGACTCAGGACGTCTTCCTTTGCTCAGTTCTCCATTACGGTGTTGTGGGCTAGAAAAATCAGAAAACACAAGTCTGGAAGCATAGAGGACTGGCTGGGGAGTAGTAATGATCATTCTTATAATAATCACTGCTAGCATTAATTTAGCTGTTAATATGTGCAGGTGCTGTATTAAACACGTTTACATCCAAGCTCATTTAATACAAGGACCCTACGCAGTAGGTACTGTATTTTCTTATTTGAGGTGCAGAAGCTGAGGCACAGATAGGTCAAAAACTTGCCCAAGGTCACACTTACAGGTGGTTTAAGTCATGGAGCTGGGATTCGAATGAAGGTAATCTGTTTGTTTTTTTTCAAGATTTTTTATTGGGGAATTAGGGGATGGGAACAGCGCTGGGGAATTGGGGGAAGGGGAACAGACAAGTTGCTGTCTTTTTGCTCTTCAGTCTAGTTGTGGAGGACGTTGTTTCACTGGCCCAAGTTGGCACCATCGTTGCGCTCCTCCTGGGCGTGGCAGATCAGTCACCGGTTTCTGGATGGCCACTCACAGTGACTGCTGGCCGCTCATGCTGACTGCTGGCTACACATGGTAGCCCATGGCAGCAGGGGCTGCAGCCTACGCTATCGCCCACGACTCACGGCAGCCCAGCTCCAGGTTGAGCTGTTGTTCAGCATCTTAGCTGTAGAGGGCAGTGTCACTGGCCCTCATATGTGGGATCCGAACTGGGGCCCTGTGGCATCCCAAGCCAGTGCTTAACCAACGCGCCACTCAGCCGGCCCAAGGTAATCTGGTTTTAAAGTCACCACGTCATTTGAATCTTTTCTAACCACTCAGCATTTTCTGAATATTGGAGCTCAGTCATGGAGGCAGAAGAAATAAGACAAGCTTCCTTCTCTAAAGCTTGCAATCCAGTTGGGGACGAAGAGAGAATTAGAAAACACTGTGGATGAGCAAAGAGCTCTCAGTTCTTGGCTCTCTCAGTGTGCAACCACCAGCACTGGTAGGCTTGTGTGGCAATCGCCGGCTTCTACATCTGTTTCTCCATAGACTGTGGTCTCCTTGGGGCAGGAGCATGTGTCGTTACTATAGTTCTCCCTTGGCCCAGCACAATGCCTCACACGGAGCAGGCACATAAAACGTGCTTGTGGAACTAAACCAAAATGCAAAATAGTGTTGTTTTCGGAAGACAAATGTAATAACACGGCAGATGTGGGCTGGTCAGCCTGGATGAGGTCATTGGGAGCTTCAGGGAGAAGGAGAGACTTGAGGGATGAATGAAGTTGGGAGGTTGTTATAGACTGAATGTTTGTGGTCTGCCCCCACCCCACTGTCCCCCCAAAAATAAAAATTCATTTGTTGAAATTATAACTCCCAAGGTGATGGTACTGGGAGGCAGGGCCTTTGAAGGGTGATTAGGTTGTGAGAGTGAAGCTCTCATGAGTGGGATCATTGCTCTTCTACAAAAGACCCCAGAGAACTCTTTTGCTCTTTCCACCAGGGGATGACACAGTGAGAAGAGGCCATATGTGAACCAGGAAGCG